ACCTTGCGCTGAATGGTGAATTCTAGCAGGCAGTGGTCACTGTCACCCAGGGGGTCAAGCACCCGCAGCCCCCTCACCAAGTCGTCGCCCGTGGCCAACACCAAGTCCAACAAGGCATCGCCCCTGGTGTTTGCCGGTCGGGAGTGAGAGGTAGCAGCAGGGATGGGGGGGGAGTGCAGGTTGGGAATAAGAGGCACCCACAGGGCCAGGGGTTGTGGTTTGGGAGTGAGGTGTCCCCCTGACAAGTGTCCTCTTCTTTTGGAACTGGAAATATGGTAACCCTAAGCCGGTCAAAGGGATTTCTTCCTAGTACCCAGGACACGGCAGAAGGGTTTGATTTTGTTTATTTTGTGTTTGCCTGTTTGTTACTTAAAGACTGTTTTATTTGGGAGGACTGGTTGGGAAGCTCCTTAGGGAGCAAAAGCCTCCAGCAGGCTAGGCAGTCCTTTTACAATGCCCTCTCACTCTTCTCTTCTTCCCCCACCTCAGATTTGCCATGTGTTGGATAGTTTATAAGGAACAGACCCTCAAGGATCTGTTACAGCTCATGCGGAATGCAAGACTTGTAAGTTATTTTTGTTCTTTGTTCAGTTCCTATGACCCAAAAATATTTTTCCCCTCAATTTTTGAGATGCCATCTTCATAGCCTCTTCCCCCTATCAGTAAGCCCTGATGGTGATTGTCATGTAACCTGGAACCCTGATGCAAATAACTCACTGTATCATGCAACATGTAGCTGACTGTTGTGGATTGTTGGTCTAAAATGGTGCATGTCTTGCATGTCACAACAATACACTGGCAGGCAGTCCTTGGGGCACTAGATTGTCAACTTCATGCCCTTATGGTGGACAACATGACGCTCACTGATGTGGCCAAGGAGCGGGGAATTCCTTCTTTAGGAAGCCTAAAGGGAGCTGAAGAAGACATGGATTGATGCCATTTATCAGAAGGGTCCCGCCTGATGTTCTGCATGACTGGAAAGGCAAAGCTAGCTATTTTGGAATGCGTAACAAGACAGTTTTACATTGAAGCCATAAGAGTGCTCTTTGTCTATCTGAAATTCCTTTTTCTAACCCCTGAAGACATGCAGACAGTTTGCATTAAAATGGGGTTCTGCTATGACTCAGACATCAGGGTGCCTTTCTCCTCTTGCCTGATTTGTGCCTTATTGTATCTATGCATTTTTACATGGTTCTTGAACTGAGCCTTATTGTTGCAATGCTAAGTTTTGTACCGGAAAAGAAGGCCTTTCTACTGCTAAAATCCTACCTTTTTTACTTGGAAAAAATTCTGGAAAATATATCTAGTACAGTGCTTTAATATATAATGCTTCAAAAGCTAGCCGGTAACATGTAGCCTCAAAACAGCGTTGGAAATGGATACAGTTCTGAACAGAATTCCTATTTTAGGAATTTACTGTGCTCCATGCACTTATTTCTGTTATGAATTTTTTATTTTCTCATGTCATAAGTTGTCTTTTGAGCACATGGCAGGAAGAGTTGGGAGTTGCAATAGGTTCAAGGAGGGAAGACAGATAAGAGAAGGACATAGATACATAGTCATACATACACATGAATAGGTACACACACTCGTACATATGCATGTGTCTATTCATATACACTTGTGTATATAGTTACATACACACACATATATATGCACATATGTGTATGTATATATTTTATATATATATACACACACACACACACACACGTGCATGTACCCCATATATACCTGCACCCACATAAACATATACTTGCATACACATGTATATGTACATGTTCATATATACACAAACATAGTCACATACATACACATGCTGACAATAGCAAGTCCTCTCAACTCAGTCATGGTAAGAGGATGGAGGAAGTGCTACAAGGACACCCTTTAAAGCATATCTTAAGAAGGATGGCACTTAGGGTTGCCAACTTTATTTGAATCTATTTTGGGAGATTTTATCATGTGACAGATTATGGTGTATAGACTTGTATGTCAGGAAGACAAATGCACGTTACTACTTCATTTAAAAAATCCACTGGACTATTGTATAAATTGGTTTCAACATTCAATATTTATTTTAATGAATGCCCTATCAATGATCTCCCGAGTGACTCCCAACAGTCTTCTGGAGATTTACGTCTAATTCCTGGAGACTCTAGTCTAGGGCAATCCTGGAGAGTTGACAACCCTAGTAGCATCAACCCTGCAAACTGGGAAGTGCTGGCTGATAAGAGGTCTCAATGTGCTGCACCACAACTCAAGCTACAGCCCACTTTGAAGACAACAGTCTTGCTCAGGAGGCTGAGAAACAGCAGAGGAGGAAGAAAAGCACAAAACCACCTGGCCAACAGCCGCCCTCTGCCCTCAAGGCACCACCTGTGGAAAAGCTCACACAGTACGGATTGCATTCTGCCACCTTAAACCTCACGGTAATCTAGACAGTTGCAAAAACATTTTTTTTTCTTTATTTGCAACCTTTCAGGCACCCTCACCCTTCCTTAGGCACCAGAGAACGCAAAGACTATAAAACTTCTCCCAGGGAGAAATGCAAATTCGTATTCCACAGGAGAGCTGGAGGGTATAGATGAAGACCTCCTGGCTGGAAATTTTCATTTGATGCGAATTAGACTGGGGCACGCATCGACGTGCACGCATACATGCACACACATCTATGCATATATTCACACAGGCACACCAGGTTCTCCGCGGAGAGGTGATGGCTTTCATTAGACCAACTCAATAGTTAGAAAAAACGGGTCTTTGCCACTACACCCCTTCCCCCCTGCTGCACAAGCCCCGTCGTCACCGCAGCGTGGCGCATGCGCACACCCAGCCCGCCAGCTACCAACCGGGGGGCAGGGTTTGTTCCTCCCCTCCCCTCCAAACAGCCCTCCCCGCTTCGAACGGAGGCGATTGGGGTCGCCCGGCGGCACGGAAACGAGGCTGAGAAAGCGGCTAGGAACTCTAGCGACTAAGGGATGGAGCAAGCAGAGGGGAGAGGCGGGGCGGGGAAGGGGAGGAGACCCCGCCCCTTCCACTGTGCCTTCCGGTGCGCGGCGGCTCAGGCAGTGGGGAAGGCAGCTGTGCCGCACGATGGGGTCCTCGCGTCCTTAAAAGCGCGCGGGTAAAGCCCCGCCCCCCTCTTTCACTGGTGACTTTCGCGGCGGGGTGAGCGGCGCGTGGCGGCTGGATCGGGGTTGGGGGGGAGGCGAGTTGGCGCGGGGCGGCGCCTCTGAGGCTTACTGGGCCCGTCTGTGTCTTGTTTTTCAGCGACCAGCCGGGCGGGAGCGACCCCCACCAACCATGGCCGAGGAAGGGTGAGGGCCGCGGGGGGGCGCGCGAGGCAGCCCCAGCTGCCCGGGAGTTTCCGCCTCGTGGCTGCGGGCCGCGGGCTGCGCTTGCGCGGCAGGTCTGCTGCGGGGCGGTGGGGGGGGAGCTGGTTCCAGGGGGACGCTGGGCGGCCCCCCCCCTTAACCAAGCACGTGGAGCCCCAATTAAGGGGGGGAGATAATCGGGGGGGGGGGGG